CCTGCTCGGCTTCGCCGCCCTGCGCCAGCACCTCGCGCTCCCCGCGCAGGACGACGCCGCGGACGACGACCTCGCCGCGCACCACCCGCGCCCGCAGCACGCCCCGCCCTCGCCGCCGCCGTACACCCAGCGCCACGTCCACATCTCCCCCGTCTCGCCCGCCGTCCACCCCCCCGCGAGGATGGGACCGGATGAGGCCGAGCACGCGAGGGAGATGCTGGACACGTCGAGCTGCTCGGATGATGCCAGCATGACCGCCGCCGCGTCGTGGCATACGCTCAGGGATATCAGGGAGGAGCTGGACTTGGACACGTGCGAGCAGCGCGCGTGCGAGACGCGCGGGAGAGCCTGGAGGAAAGACGATGCTACGCTGTTTCATGCCACGCAGTCGGTCGTTAATTTTGTCCTCGAGGGCGATGAGGACATGCTTCACCGCAAGCACGACATGCAAGCGCAAGGGCGTGCCCAAGGCCACGGGGGCGTGCGTGCCGCTCCTACGCCGAGGTATGCTGCACCGCAGGTGGGCGCACGGCCATATGACCAGTACGAAGAGCACCATGGGGTCAACGGGATGGAACACGAAGCCTATGATTACCGAAGTATGCCGCCTCCAAGGGCTGATTGGCCGCGACGGCGGCAGGACTTCCTGCCGCCGTCACACTCTGTGCCCACTAGCACGTTGTAGCTGCGTGGCATCGCCGACGCGAACGGACCGGGACAAGTTGCTTGGCGGCGGCGGTGCGCGTTTTGGGGGGAACCTTTTTTTTTTATGTACAGATGATGTTTTAAATTAGTGCCGAGTGCGTGCTTGGCGTGCTTGTGGAAATTGCAAGGTCAAGGGTAGTGACCTTTTGACGGAGCCGCAACCGTACATGGCGGCGTGCTTAGGGCGCGAGAGATGATGAAGAAATTGCAACATTGCGCGTATCTGGGGGATGAGTAGTATTCGCACGTCCTCGCAAACGTTTTTTTGACCACAGTAAATTTAGCCGAACTGAGACACGAATGAAGTTGGGGGGCGTTGCCGGAAGGCGGGAAGCAGGTGCGCCGTAGTCGGGGAGACCGAATCGGCGGTGGGCATGCAAAAGTTGCATATCTTCTAGCGCACGTCCTGGCGACGCCACAGCCGTTCCCCTGCACGCCACGCCACGAAATATCTCCGGCGGACACGGTTAGGGGTACCCCCTTCCGAGCGGAGCAACCAAGCAGAGGCCAAGGGCGTGCTCCCCGCCACCCTGCGCTGGCCCGCACCCGCCATTCCTGGTTTTTCCTGGTTTGCCTGCCTGCCGCCTGTTTCCGCGGGATCACCATATGCGCATCGCGATCCGCCTCCCTCGCTAGTGCCCGCCTTTTCCACCCGCCGCCCACCACCCGACACCTACACGCGTACCAACTACTGTACCTCCTCGCGCACATGCGTCGGCAACGCCCCATACGCGCAAGAGAGGCGAGCGCGGTCGCGAGGTTTTTGAATAATCACAAAACTGACTGCCCAACTAATATTCCGTAACAACCCTCGCTGCGCCCGAACCGTCCATTCTCACAGGTCAACCTGCACCCGCCAGAAGACCATTGGGGCAAGGCGGAGTGCGCTGCCCATCGCCCGCCCGCATTTCTGAAGCAGTACCGCCCTTGCAGACACGTTGGTTGTAGCACCCGTCGCGTCGTTGGCAAGCCGTGTGAGGAATGGGCCCCTTCGGAACCGGAATACGTTAACCGTTGCGGGATGCCACTTGTGTTCGTTGGCAACCGAAAATCCGTTTTTCTGCCCCTGATCTGGAGAGGCACGCGTCTTGAGACAGGGAGCTTGAATGGATGTAGGGACAACTGCTTCAGAAAAATCTTCTCGCATCTGCGCCGAGATAATCGTACCTCAGCACTCCCACACTTGCACTCTCTACGGTAGCTACACTAGTTGCTGTGCGTGGATACTATATCTCAAAAGCGTAAAGAGACTCGTGGTCAACATGATTTGCTCTGGCGACAATGCCGCCGGTCTACTGTTTACAACAAAATGGAGCAAGTGAAAGGATCAAGACTCTCTTCTCCAGCACTACTGTAGTACCTGCCATGTGCTACTCTAGTTTACCAATTGGAAATCTAGTTAGCCGACATAGCCGGAAAGTCGCGGTACGTAATAGAGAAAAAACTGCTCACTTGCGTTCCTGCCATACCAAATGTAAAACGTACATTCCATCAACACTCAAACACACTTCTTACGCTTCCACGTAGGTGTAGTAGGCACCCTTGGAGTCGACGTAGACGCGCTCGGAGGTACCGAGGCCAAGGGCGGCGCCAGGGCCAGCAGCAGCGAGCGAACCAGTCTCACCATTGGCGGAAGCGGATCCAGACGTCTTGTCAGCGGCAACGGAGACGGTGTTCTCACCCTCAGCCTCGACGCCGGAGCCGTTAGCAGCAAGAGCGGCAGTTCCAGGAACGACCTCCTCGGTGGCGGGCTCCTCAGTCGTGGGCTCCTCAGTCGTGGGCGTCTCAGTCGTGGGCGTCTCAGTCATGGGGGTCTCAGTCGTGGGGTGCGTGGGAGTGGCCGAGCCAGTGTGACCCTCAGACGGCGACGTCATGGAGTAATCCGGGTTCGTGGACGGGTACGTCGGGGCCTTATCGGTCGGGCACGGCGTCTTCTCGGCGGTCGGGTACTCCGGGGCGGTGTACACCGGCTCGGGGTCGGCGACGGGCTCAACAGTTTCGTACTTGGGAGCTTCCGGGGCAGTGTACTTCGGCTCGGGCTCAGCGGCGTACTCCTCGGGAGCTTCCGGGGCGGTGTACACCGGCTCCTCCTCCTTCACGGGCTCCGGGCACGGCGTCTTGTAGGCGCGCTCGGAGGTACCGAGGCCAAGGGCGGCGCCAGGGCCAGCAGCAGCGAGCGAACCAGTCTCACCATTGGCGGAAGCGGATCCAGACGTCTTGTCAGCGGCAACGGAGACGGTGTTCTCACCCTCAGCCTCGACGCCGGAGCCGTTAGCAGCAAGAGCGGCAGTTCCAGGAACGACCTCCTCGGTGGCGGGCTCCTCAGTCGTGGGCTCCTCAGTCGTGGGCGTCTCAGTCGTGGGCGTCTCAGTCATGGGGGTCTCAGTCGTGGGGTGCGTGGGAGTGGCCGAGCCAGTGTGACCCTCAGACGGCGACGTCATGGAGTAATCCGGGTCCGTGGACGGGTACGTCGGGGCCTTGTCGGTCGGGCACGGCGTCTTGTCCGGCTTCGGGTGCTTGTCATCAGTCTCAGGCGTCGTGTAGGAAACCGGCTCATCTTCGTACTTGGGAGCTTCCGGAGCAGTATACTCCGGTTCCGGGGCAGAGTACTCGACAGGAGTCTCCGGGGCGGTATACGGAGCCGGACCAGGGGCGGTGTATACACCTGTCGGCGTAGCACACGGGGTGGCTCCGGCCATGGACTTGGCATATCCAGTAGCAACAGCGACAGTGGCGATGGCGATGTAGGTAACCGTCTTCATTGTTAGTTGAGTTAAGAGTGTTGTCTACCGGAGAAGATGTGAGAGCTGATGGAAGGGAAGATAAGAATGAATGCAGATTGCAGGCTCACTTTATAAAGCGTTTTGCGAAAGTAGTGAAGACAATGGAGTAGCATCAACTTTGTTCCCAAGTGTGTGTAGAAGGGGGCAGAAGGGCCCGTCCCGAATATTCAGTGCTAACGCAAGCTAGTTCCGGACAAATGCTCCATGATAGATGAGAAAGAGGCAGTTCCCTGGTAACGAAGTTAGGGAGGAAGGTGCAGACTCCCCACGGGCCTCCCAACGTGGCATTCATGGAAAGTGGGACGTAGACTGCCGCATTCTCGAACTGTCAGAACGGACGAGAGGGTCGAAAGAATACGGGGCGTATTGACAGCGTTCCAGTCCCGACGAACGAGTTCAATATTGACAACTGGAACACGAACCTCCGGCGGCCATAATTCCCTAACTGCGTGCTCTCCGCAAGATACCCTTGCGTCATAATTGATGCAAGGGTATGCGGTAACATGGGTATCCATTGGACATCTTGGTGGGGGCAAGAAAGGCTTCTCTTGACAAATTGACCGGTCTTATTTAGGCACGTCTCTAGTTGTCTGGGGTACAACAGGGCCAACACCTAGCATGTCTTACAGCTACAAAAGGTGGGTCCAGCATGCTCTCTGCCGGCCTGAGATATTGAGAGAAATAGAGCAACGACTTGATTCCCAGCAATAGTCTTCATCGTATATACGGAACTGATGGCCCTCTCCCACGCATAGTTTCAGCTGCAGCATCGCAAAATACCATGTGGATATTTCATTTGCGCGCTTGGGCCCATTGTCAAGTGTTTAAGTCGGTGTGGCGACCCTTCTTTCATCAGAGCGAGACGAGCGCGTTTGCTTCCCGTACTGTCGTCCATTCTATAATTCACACTCTGGCTGTCAGGAAAATGCACGCTCCCTCCTCTGTCAAATTTTCGTACGGTTAGTCCATCTACATCCTATCGCACGAATGCAGCATTGTAGAATGAAGTTAAAACCGCAATCGAAGATTATGACTCCATTATTTTCAACCGTTATTCTTTTCAGGGTACGGCCAGGACTTGGATGTGGTCAATTGGCCCAAACAGCTGACGGCCCGAAGTTCTTATGCCGAATGTATACCTTACGAAAGCCCTGTATTGCATTAAGCAACTGCATGACCAAGAAACAAAACATGACTGTGAAATAGAATGCCTTGGAGCAGCACGCATTTCGGAAAGTGCTGACAATCCCTTGCGACCTCGTTCCTCCCAAGCCTGAATAAACATTTTAATCCTTAGTTCCCTGTACCTTCAGCATGCATATGTGCTGCTCTCCGTCAATTTTCGGTCATTTGAACAACAGATAAACGATGTAGAGCTCCACAGCAACTGTATTCTGAATTCGCTAGACAAGAAGTCAAAAGCGTTTGGATATAAAGTGACAGGACCAATATGAAAAGGACAAAGAGCTTTTAGTCTGGTACTTTTGAAGAAGAGCTCTTCTCAATATTTTCTTGATTGATGGATCTACATTTCCGATCAGTTGGTATTGAAATAACATACGCTGTAGAGCCGTAGATGGTGTAGAAAGAAGAATATAACATGCGAAACGTTTGAATAAATATGTATCGAATTGAATGCAAAGATTTCTTGTCTTTCAAGTCAAAGTATCACAGACAAAATTCCGTTTCGGTGCTAATGTGAGCAAGACCACTAGCATTTCAGAACGATATTGTCAGACCCTCGTGTGCACCACATGAGGGTCTGACAGATATATTGGAATTCTCCTGAGACGGCATTTTAGCCTTTGATGGAGAGAAGTGCCTGTTGGCTCTGACAAGTTATGAATTTTCATTTTTCCCCCGAGTCCTTGAAGGCAGAAAGGAGAAAACTCATCCGCATCTTTCTACTCCTGAGCTGGAGAAGCTGGTCTCAGATTAGCTAAACAACTGTAAGGTATGAGTTGTTTCAAAGGAAACTACTGCAAATCATTTATTTGGATAAGGATTCTGAGACTGTTTCAAGCTCTGCCTAGATGAATTATACAATGCAATGTTCCATTACCGCTACTGGTTGAGGCAATCGAAGTTGCATTTTCCGAAGGGAAAATAATATTTCTCTTACTTGAGTATGTGAGGTGGTGATGGATAAAAAGATATTGTATGTTCCAAACGAATCATCTCTATTTAATACTGCTAAATACAAGGATTATTGTCCTGGCAAGAATCAAAAATAGCGGGACTCCAAGAGTGCAGTGTGAGGAATCACCTTTTGTTCAGTTTTCGTAAAACGTCGTCGTAGAAAACGAGGTCTATTTCGTGATGGAGACTCTTTCGGGGAAACGTTTTGAATTCAGAAAGCGTTCGCGGTAAATATTTTGATTTCGTACGTAACATAGCAAAATTATATGTACAAGACCATAGCTCAGTGACCCATCAACTTAGATAAGTTCAGTTTGTTCATACACGGATGCTCAATTGATGTACCTAAATAGCGCTAAGGAAGGCCAGCTCTCCAAGTAGAGTGAATTTTGGGTCAGGCAAACTAAGTACTGCCTCTGTCTCTTTAAGTAGACTATTGCGATGGAACCTTTGTCCTCCGATACTGTAGCATGGGCTTCAGAGCTTGGAACTCTTTGACATTTTTCGTTTTTGCCTTTAAAAGTACTTTACCAAAATATTGCGCTACGGTAGGAGTGTTTGTTGGAGATCGATCGTTCTGGAACAGAGCGATGATGAAAGTTTCTTGGGCTCTGGCTATTGTCGGAAACGAACAACATGCACTGCAGCTGTACCACCTTGCCCCTTTATTATCCGGCTGTTAGCAAAACTGCTCAAAAATACGCTTTGAGATGGAGCCCTTCTGTGAGCGTGGTTTCTATGAAGGATACAAAGTGTTGAAGACAAATACTTCATCACCTTGTTCGTCTACAAAGCGGGGCAGGTATGATTCACGGGAGCACCGCCTTGACATAAGCAAAATTCCTAAATTGATAGTGCGAGGTTGCATTGCTGGTCTAGCTGAAAGAACCCCACACAGATGATGAAAGCTCGAGATGTCTCGATGCTCACATCAGCTGCTGCCCTTGTCATCATACGCGTCTTTGCATCCGTTTTTTCGATGAACAGAGTTTCACTTAAGTCCATATCAACACAAAAGGAGGTTGTCTGTTTGTGAGGCCCGATTAACCTGATCTCTTCAACTCCATTTAACCCAAAAGAAATCACCTCACCCACCACGAGCAGAACGCACTACTTCTACCAACTGTCTCGACTTCTCACTCATCCGCAAAACTTTCATACGCGATTTCCATAACGACTCTCGCTCAAATGCCTTACAATCCCCTTTCTGGAAAGTACCTCGACGTCATGGAGACGCAGGTTGACAGATGGATCAAGGACAACCGCTGGACAGATCCGCAAAAAGCAGAGAAGTTTCACAAGCACATCGCCAACAAAGCCACCTGCCAATGGGTCGGAGATTGGAACACCAGGCCGAAAGAGGAGGCTGCTAGAATTGCAAATCACGCCCACGCAAACAACGCTCTTTATCAGATAGTGCTCTACAACTTTCCGAACCGAGACACTGGCGGCTTTTCAGCCGGTGGTGCTGGATCGAGACAAGCTTATATTGCATGGGTGAGTGCTATTGCGGCAGGTTTGGGTTCGCGGTCCGGTATCATTATTGTTGAGCCGGATGCAATAGCGCATGCGCCAGAACTTGACGAGAACAGCAAGAACCAAAGGCTTAGCCTTCTCCGAGAGACAGTCGTTCTCCTCAGGAAAAGGTGTAAGCACGCCTACATCTACCTCGATGCGGGACACTCCGACTGGCTGGACGCTGGTACGGCACTTGGACTTTTGTTGACGGCTGGCGTCCGCTTTGCAAATGGTATTTCGTTAAATGTGTCCAACTCCCAGTGGACGAAAGAATGCTACAACTATGGCAAGCGGATCGTAGAAGGGATCTCTGAGGAGCACGGAATCGTCATCGACACCTCAAGAAACGGAGCTGGTCCACCACCACCAGAGCAGACGGGCTTTAACGCATTCGCAAATCCGCCTTCAAATAGACTGGGCATGGCGCCGACCTTGAGGGTGCCGCCGCCGAATATATTCTCCAACCGCTTGCATGCCCTTCTATGGGTTAAAGTGCCCGGAGAGAGTGACGGTGACTACAATGGAGCCCCGCGAGCTGGGATGTTCTGGCCTGAAGGAGCTATGCGTCTCGTTGCGGGTTTGAGTTAGAAAAAGTAGTCTTGTATTTGGGGCGAGTTAAGAATCTACTTTCGGAGACGAGTGAGGCTCATCCGTGGAGAGTCTGCGGGCTCTGCAAGAATAATATACAGGGTATAGCAGTTTTTACAAATGAAGGATGGCACAATGGGAAGGAAGAACATGAAATGCTCTTCTCTCAACCACAGGGTACTGCTGTGATGCGCTCGACGGATGAAGCTACATGAGTAAGGAGTGTTACCCACTACCCGTTGGCGTGAAAGAAGGCCAAATATGACGAAGAACGGGACATAGCGGACAGCTTGACTTCTATGTCCTTTCTTGTGTTTGGCCTTTTTCTGAATAACTTATTTGCTGAATGAGCGTGTTGTGGCTTCAGAAAGGCTGCTAAATTCAAATACCGATTAGCCGTTCATAAAGACCAGTACTGTAGCAAACTATTCCGGATTCAGAAGCGTCCCTTGTCACACACACCGTACGTCACTTCGCTTTCACATCCAAAAAATGATCCTAGAAAAATGGGTTTGATATGAACAAAAAGAAGATGTGCATTCAGCTGGTACTTTTTGGAAGAAGTTGTAGCTTCACCGAAACCACTGCCATATCTCACGTTCTACAGACCTCTAGTAGAGAAATAGGAAAACAGCCAGTCAGGGACAAGAACAATATCGTTCCAACGTTCTCCTCGGATTTCAGGTTTTGCCATGTAACCATAACGAACTTTATTGGACTGCATGCAGAAGAAGGTGCATGCGTCGAGTCGGAAACTGCCGCACACGGAGGGAATGTCATCGTAGATGTTATCAAGTAATGATGAAATCATCGCTACAGGCGAAGGTCAAGAAAATATAACAGGTAGTATAGGTGAAAGCGCACAAGGCACGCACTCCTTTCTCTGCACGCGTTCTCCCTCTCCACTTCGGTAACGGAATTTTGACCGTATCGGAACGAATTGAAAGATGTTCCCATGGCTTCATGTGTTACGAAGTCCCGAAATAGAGCTGGATGTGCACTGGGAAGTGAACATGCGGGTGCATAACAAGCGGCCTGATCATCCATCTATTCTCCGTTCACTGCTCCGAATCGACCAACCCAAGACGGTTCGGACAGTAAAGGAGAAGACTTCTACCAAGCACACCAAGTCTCCCGGGAAGGACTTGCCGCGACAGCAGGAGCATCAAAAGCGTTCGTCCAAGCATTCTCCCGAGCATTCTCCCAAGAACTCTTCGAAACATTCGTCCAAGCATTCTTCGAAGCACTCGTCCAAACATTCTTCGAAGCATAAATCACCATCTTCAGACCGAAGATCTTCGCCAAGAGATATATCAGAATCTCGCCACAGGTCTAGGAGGATTTCGACGACTACAAGAAAGACGCGGACAAAATCGTACGGGCATGCGGTACCGCAGAAGCGTGAAAAGGAGCATAGGAATAAGAATAGGCGTAGAAGGGCGAAAAGCGAATCAAAGCCTAGTTCGTCGTCGTCTTCTAGTGGAAGCAGCGGAAATTAGAAAGAATAGTGAAATGCTAAGAAGCAACTTTAGATAGCGCGAGAGGCAAGATGGGTTTGGGGTTGACTTGAAAAGCTAAAAGGAGGGCTCAAGTTTTACTTGCCTCGCAAGAGGCTACCGAGGCCCAAGTAAACAGGTTTTCGCAATAGTAATTGTTTGGACTAGTCATTTATCGAACTACGATCAGAGAAGTGTGAGCGACTTCATGTCTCCGAGGAATGAATGGAAACTTTCATGGAAGGCTTGGCATGAATTTCCGCGATGGTAAAGCATTCTTGTTGGATGTTTGCGTTGATGTGACTCTCACATCACTGCGCTGCATCACACTCTGATTTGATTCAAAGAATCAACTCCTGATTTAAAGAATCAAATCCAGCGATGTAGCCACGCATGCAAGTCGGAAAACGCGCGCCAGTTTCATTTCTTGGCCTTTCAGAGCCAGAACCTTTCTAGCCTTTTCCGTACGTTCCAAAGTCTCAAAACGCATGGCAGGGCTCCCCAGCTCTTCCTCTGCACCTGAGCTGTGGACGTCTGCAGGTTCCAGTATCGCCTTGCAAAACCCGTCACCATGCAGCTCTCCCTCCTGGCGAAATCGCGCCGCCGCCGCAAAATCCGTGCCAAGCTAGACGAGATCGCGCGCATTGTGTCTTCCCCCCCGACGCAGGACGAGCCGCAAGCGCTGTTGTCTGCGACCGATTGCGCCGTCATCACCGAGCATGGCGACGTCATTGTCACCACGGCGGGGTCTTCGAGTCCTTTCGAGGCGGTCGCCCCCAAGATCCGCGACATCCGCGCCTCAGCCGCTGCGCTGTGCGAATATGTCGGCCGACAGAATACTGATGTCGTCCATGTGAGGGGACAGCGAGGCACCTTGCACGCATATCTGCTCGGCGCACATACGCTTGTCACGCGCACAGAGGTCAGCCAGGGAGTTAGGACTTTGGACGCTGTCGTGGCGAGAGTGGACGAATCCTTGGGGGTTGGGGGGGTAGGACGCACCCTCATTGACCAGCTTGCTGCTATGTTGCAGGAATTCTAGGCTTGCAATGTTTGATCTGTCTCCGCTTTTTTACATGTGTTCGCTACTGCCATCAACGGATACTTCCTTCGCGCGCAATACGACAGCATCAATGCTCATGTATGAGCCCCCTCATCTTGGCATCGTGCAAAAACTGGCAGTAGGGGCATGACGAAAACGATGCCCCCCACTTGCGCTTCAGTAGCGGTGGCGGTGGCGGCGGCGCCTCTGGCAATATGAGCACGTCGAGGACTTCACTAAGGAATCCCTCAAACGCTTTGTCATCCCTGGGTACTTGCACGTACGTCAGATCGCCGGTCAATGCCGCGGAGATGTCGCCGTTCTCGGTCGCCGGAGTATGGAAGTCCTTAAGCGTATACACCACAAGGCCCATGTCGCTTACGGTGCCTTGTAGTAGTTCCGACTGAGTCGACGGGTTCTCGATGGCCAGCGCGTACGCGTGCAGCTGCCGCGAGTAGGTTAAGGAGGACTTCGCCGCTTGAGAGGTCTTGAAGTCTATCACGCCGAACGTGCCATCATCGAAACGGACGAGGCAATCAACCTGGTGCACAGACGTCAAGAGGAACGGGAACGCGTGCGAGTGTTGCGGGGAAGTGTACACAGCGATTAGGTTAGTTGTGTGCGGCATCTGATTTGCAAAAGATCAGTTAAAACAGAGTATATTGCCGCCAAGAAACCGTACCATTCCTCGTATGTATACGCTATCTGTGTGACCTGGTGGAGTTATTGGCTTGCACTCCACCCAAGCATCGGTATCCTCGCACAAAAACGTCCCTGGTTTCATTTCCGGGATAACCCCCTGCGTAGGTAAGCCCCTGAAATGTCGTTTCATACCCAAATCAATTACGCCAAAGATAGATGGAAACGGCGCGCGTGGTCTATATAGCTTCTTGTGTGCCTTGAGGTAGAAGCAACGCTTGCACTCATTCCAGAGAAATGCGAAATCTGATGGCGCTAGGCGGAAAGGCGCGACAGTGTTTTCTGATGGCTTCGAGTGGGGACGGACGGGAGCGGCCGTTGCTGCCCATCGGACTTGGCTTGTTTTCCGGCCAGATGCACAGAACAGCCGAGCGCCGCTCACGGTAAATGCCGGGATGTGTCGGGGGTATGGCATTGCAGATCGTGGTAGGTCCGGGAATGCTGAAGTCCTGGGTGCAATTGTGCGCGTCGACCGTTGGCAACTGACGTAGAGGTTGAATTGAAAGAAGTTTTGATCTGTGACATCACAGATGTTCTGAATTTTTCTGATGGATTGTTAATCTTCCGTAGTCATTAAACTATTTTTTTCTGTTTTTTTTATTTATTTCCGATGGAAGGCTCTCTCATTTTGAAGTAAAATGCTTAGGTATGTGGCGAAACCTTGTGATGGGAAGCATGGGCCTACATCATGGGAAGGTGCGTGAGCGGTTGGCGTGTCAGGGATGTCAAGGGTATTCTGAAGAGTGCTGCTTGCCTACGTAAGTTTGTCTCAATCGACTGCTCTAGAGGTTCTCGGAATTGCTGTAGAGCTTTCAACACGAAGGAAGATTCGATTCTAGGATAGCGAAACAAATCAGTCCGGGCTCTCGAAATATGACATAGCCTACAAGAATAGCATCCCATCATAGATGAGCAAGTGTAGGTATAGGACTGAGAGGCCTCTTGGATGGCGGAATAAATTCTAAGTGACGTCAAGATGCACCGAGATCAACATTATTCAGGTAAACAAGCTAGGAGATGAGCTCTAGAGCTCAATTAGAACAGCTATATCTGATCGCTGGCGGTAAGGAGTATCGTTTTGAATCGCAGTTTCTATCCTAGGCATATGTACGGGACTTTGGCATACGTTAACCGTGGATCTCTGTCAATTGCTGGATCATTACTTGTGTTTATGGTCTGAATACCCGCACTCATCGAGAAAAAAAATACTGTTGTACATTATCGCCGGCAATTTTCCTATCTCGCCATGATGGAGCACCCTGCTTTATCGTTTAAGTAACTATAGAAGTGAACCGTGCCTCCGCTATTCACTAACAAGTATATGGGAATATGTCACTGAGTACAATAATGCCGTGAACAGGTAACAATAGCCGGCAGAGTTAAGACGCTATCGATTCAAAATAAGGACATGGACGCAGTCATGTTTGCTCGCTCACGTTCTCACCGTTAAGTTCTATGCCTACCAACTGCAGTGTATGTATCGACTCCCTAGCTGGTCGGACAGGGAATACTTGGAGGTGCATTGTGTCAAACATCCAACCGAGCGCTTGCTTCCGGCTACTCACACCCCGTCAAAATGCTACACGCCTGTACCATCGAAGCAGGCTTCTTGCGCAAGAGCGAGAGTAAGGAAACATGTATTTTGCATAAAGACGACTGTGAGGTGTGTGTTTCTGTGCATTATTGCAACCACTCGGAAACTGAATCTCGGACTCCCAGTTGTCTAACAGCAATTGATAATCGGTTCACAGCTTACCATGAGAACCGTGGAAAACGATGAGAAGAGCCAGTTATTGTATATTGCTCGTAGCTCTGGCTCGATGGAAGGTCATTTTTGTCTACTCTCGAATCATGAGTTCCCTCCCTTGAATAGATTATTCAGGTTCTTTTGAGTACCCTCATTCGGGAGCGAAGGGCGGCTGGGATTTAGTAGACTCTAGATCGAGCATGCTGTCGAAGGTCAGCAGCAACTTCCTCCTTCTCCCGATAAATCAAATCAGATATCCTCCATATTTGCACCGTAGATCCTCCTTCCCCAACTGTTTCGCTGAGTGACGCTATGCACCAGGGGTCAGACTCGCTGGGATGCCACTCAAAATCGACGATCTTTGAGGGAGACTGGGTGTGTCCGACATGTCTGAACATCAATTCGGGGCTGACCGAATACAAGCCACTTGAGAATGCCGGCCGACGATCTGTTTCCTTGATGTTCCACAGTAGAACTTGCCCGTCTTCACCGCCGGATGCCAAAGTGGCCGGAACGTACTTGTTCCACATAACATTTGTCACTTGATTCGAATGGCCATGAAGTGTTTTAATAGGCTTTCTCTCCCCAAGTGCATTTGTCAGGTAGCGTCTATCCCACACTTTGATTAAATGATCACTACCGCCGGTGATGATGAGGTACTGATCTGTTCCACCTGCATCACAGCAGTTGATATCTCCGACGTGAGCTTTCCGAACCGTGCTTGTCGGCCTAGCGGTTGTTCGCGTATCCCACAACATCATTGCCGAGTCCCGCCCAACTGAGACCACGATGTTTCGGTCATGTGAATTGAAACTGACGTCTTCTACGATATTGGTGTGTCCCAAATCTGGTGACATGTTGCGTCCTCCTACCATACGCGCACGGGGCATCAACTCTGGTCCCATGCTTTGGTAATCTTTAAGGCACCACACAAGAACAGAGCAATCCCTGCCGCCACTCACAATCCATGTATCCGCCTGACCAGCATCGCTGTCCAGGTTTGGAGGTGGAGCGACATCTAGGGCATAATCTGCATCGTCATGATGTCCAACTAGTGTGACAGTGGGCACGCTAGCTGTCATTTCGTCCTTCGCTCTTGCTGGTTGCATATTGAAGTCCCAAACGAACAAATGAGGATTATCGGTATGCGTGATAACGACGCCAGGTGCGGCGAGGCGTATCCGATTGACTTCGCCGGGGTGGATAATTCGCTTGCGAAGCCAGAAGCTTCTTGTCGACATTTGATCGGCCCTCTCTAAGACAACAGCCTCATTAAGCCATGGTTTGGCTATGTCTTGGGGTTTGCACGAAAGCTCTGGGGTGACCTTGACATCGAAGTGCAGGAGGGTATTGGGATCGTTCTTGGAAGGTCCTGTCCGTTCCGCTAAATACAGGGCGCGCGTGATAGACGGGGCGCCATTGCTTATAACGGTGCGTTCTCTTGACCTATTCTCATCTGGGCTCAAGGCTCCCCAACGCAACGCCTCGTGTGGCCAGACCAAGTTGCGAGAGGAAAGCCAGTCGTAGAGCAAGGGTACGTGTTGGTCTTTCCATATTTCGAAGCGCGCATCTGCATTCAGAGAACCCACAGGTTGGACAGGCGTTGGCATGGCAGCTTCCCGGTGAAGGCGACAACTCTCGTAGACTTGAAGGCGACGACCGTGGCCTTTGATGCGATGCCGAAGGTCGCTAGTCTCGAGGGGACTACAGCGGCTTTCGCGCGGCTTTCGCGCTGTGACGGGGTGCGGCTATGGTTTGAGGAATTGCTGAAGCTGTCTTTGATATACATACTGTACGGCATGCGCCCCGTCCAGGTGTCTCTTTGATCCGTTTGCCAATCGTGGAAATAAATTTCATAATAAAAATTTCGACTCCTCTCATTGCGGCCCCGCTCTCAGTGAGGTATTTTTTTGTGCTCTTTTCACATATGTTGACGCGGACAGCACCTGCCCACTGCGTTTCTCCTTTATTCGTTTAACGAAACCTGCGAAGCGCACAGCTTGAAGTACCATGAACAGACTTCTGTTTTGCAACGTCAACGTTTTCCCAGCTTGCCGCTTCTCCGGGAGAGCAACTACTATCGCTCCACACAAGGCTAAATGTTCGGCATCTTCGGAAAAGCCGACATCAGGCCTCAAAGTTGGAGTTGCAACGGCTTTGTTCCGGAGGCGATCTGCACCTGCACAGATGGAAGTGTTGCTTGTGAAGCGTGGAAAGGAGCCAAATATGGGTCTTTGGGCTCTACCAGGTGGACGGGTGAATGATTATGAGACTCTTTTCGCTGCAGCGCTGCGTGAATTAGAGGAAGAAACCGGAATTTCTAATGTTAGCGTGCTACCGAACCCGGTCGATTCCACAGTCATCTCTGTCGGGAGAAATCCAGTTTGGAAGTTGCATGTGTTTGTTGGATATCAAACGGATATCAAGGAGCCAGTTGCTATGGATGATGCGGCGGACGCTGGATTCTACCGGATTGAAGACATGGAGGCGATGTCCACAGTTGAGGGGCTGCACGAGAAGATCACAAGGGCAGAGCGTGTACTGGCCGCAGAAGGGGACACTCAGCCAGATTCAGTTGAAACTCCTGAGAATCTGCGGTAGTGAGGTGAGCACCTAACTCTGTTCTGAAGCACGTCATCGAGACCGGCTCAGCAAACTCGGAATGAATGTACAATACTGTATTTATTTACAAAGCTGTGAAAGTCAACTGCGACTTCAAACACCGCAGGGGTGGTCACCAACACCTGTCACGATCTGAAATGACCCTTGCTCATTCAATCGCCGCCTCTGAGTTCGTGGGCTACACCTTCCTCCCAAAGTATTGCTACCGTCAGCATCATCCTCGTTTTCTACTTCTACAATTCCGTCTACAATGTTCGGGAAGGACACGACAGATGCTTCAGGTATAGGATTCGTGGCGAGTAATTCAGGCTCCGGTGTTATTTCCAGCACATTCACGACATGCACATGCAGCCCTTCTTCGTTACTTTCTGAGCTGAGAGGAACAAAACCACTCACTGGTTCTTGGTCCTCATTTTCGTCTTGGTATTTGGTATAGAATTGCTGCAAAGTTTGATCCTCCAAAACCCAACTTTTAAGCGAAAAGGGTGCTGCAACGGGGGATGGAGGGTCTTCGGGAATGGCTTCCGCAATGATTGCCGATGGGTTTCGTTTTGTCATCGAGTCTTCGGATGCGTATCCTTGACAGACCTTTGGCAAGATGGCAGATAGTATAATGTCTGCTGGGAGGCCTGAGAGCAAATTGGAGCCTTCTGATGTTGATACAGACTGCATTAAGGTATCAATGCTCTGTTCGGCATCGGTCTGCCTTCCTTTGGCTATAACGCCAGCCATGACTTGCAAGGCATCTAGCTGAGATAGGCCGCCGAGGGTGATGAGAATGTGCTTATATGTTTGCCAGTCGCGATACATATTCCACATCATGGAATGGATCAGCTCAAACTTTTCCGGGGTCGAGAAGATGGGACGTTGAAATCTGCGTGCGAGCAGCTCGGTCATATCGGAGGCGGACAGGTAACAGAGAGTGGTAGGTACGATCCACGGACCCATCCAGACGACGCGATCCAGGACATGGTCCATCAAGAGTTTAAAAGTGACGACATCACATGACTCGGCGACTTCCTCCAGAACGGAGTCTGTCAGGCGGCGTGCTAGTGCTGGTGCGAGCTCGGTGCGGAGGGTGTCCAGGGCGACCTCATCATTGGCCAGGTTGACTAGGAGAAACAGTAAAGCGCGCTCGAACTGCTCCCAGGTAACCGATGTAAGGAAATCGAAGAGGGAAGCGGGCATGCTGACGATGAAGACATTGCGATTGAATAGCGCGGCTGCAGCATTTGCCCTGAATGAAGATTTGTTGGCGGCTTGCCACAGGAATTTGTTGACGTTATACTGCATGTCCGTAGTGGGGTACAAAGAGAAAGCGGAGAGGCCATGAGAAATGCAGCGCAGTGCGCCCACGCGTTTAAGGGCTGTCTTTAACCTCAAGCGAGAGACGGGTGGGAGACTCCTAATGATGCGTCGCCTTTGTGGATCGTACGCGGGTGGGCTGGTGATATCGTAGGTGACGACACCATCTGCCAGGTCGTCTGCGAAAATGAGGCGAGAGTCAGCAGGGAGTGCCATGAGTTCAGCGTCTGTGTAATCGCGGAGCGGCGACGTGCGGAAGTCCATTGTGACTGAGCGAAACGAAGGGGGGAAGGGGAGCGAGGGGGAGGGTTCCCAGTGCAAGTAGGGCGAGAGGTCGTGAGGGAAGGAGGTTTCGAGGTATATAAGAGTGGAACGAAGGTGCAAGAAAGGGAATGAGAGTCTTTCGGATAGGACTGTGAGTGAGAAGAAGTGGAGGAAGGGGATGACGAAGGGGAGGAGAGTTGTTGACGGTGATATTAAAGGCAGCGGCGTGTTGCCGGAAGGGGAGTTGGGGAATTAGAGCAGGAGGATCTGTGCTTGTTTGCAGAGGGTGGCATGCGGATCATACAAACAGGTTTTCGTTTTCGCTAATTGGGTCGATTATTGTGAAGTGGACTTTTTGTGTAGCCCATTTCGCACAATGACATGCTGGGGCTCCCTCCCGGGGCTCTCTTCCGGGGCTCCATGCCATGTTGCCTATTTGGTGCGTCGCGTCACCATCTCCACCCCCTGTGCACTGGGCATTTGCAATGACCTCGGTCACCAGTCCGCTTCACTTTATTCAAACCTCGCGAGACCGTAAAACGACCTCATGACTTCGCCATGCCACTCTCGATCGTAGCTTTCGTCCCCACTCTGCCGCGCCTATGAAGGTGGTGTGCAGGTGCATTTCCATTCGCCGCAGCCGAGGCACGCCGCGATTGTGTAACGACGTTTTCATGCATGCAGCACTGCGACGGCGTTTGCTAAAGACAATCTTCGTCGTTTTACGTGCCCCACATTTACAGTTTAGTAGTTTGGCAATCCGCAATGTCTATTTGCCAGGGTGCGGTTGCTCTTGAGGACCCTCAGATCAAAGCATGCATGGGACTGTGAGGTTGCTCGCGCGACCTCTTCGCCTCTCCATCCCTCGGTGATTGGATACCTTTACGGAAAACTACTTTTGTGGATTGGTGATCCACTCTGGGCATCTCCCAACGTAGGTTCTACAGTACTGTGTGTGTCTCAGGATGGGTCTTAACATGCTCGCACCAATATAACAAATATCTTTGCTTGTTGCATGGAGCAGCGTTAGGATTGTGGTTGACCGTCCATGCTAAATGACGGTCAGCGCATCGTGCAGACATGCGGGTTAGTTACCCGTGCGGGCTACCCTTCGAAGGGTAGTTACCCTCCGAAGGGCTTCTACTGTACGAGAGATGCGATGGTTCAAAAATCACCTGGAATTGCTCTGAAAATACTCTGAGTAGCACTGTATTTTTATCTCGAGTTTCTCCTGCCGCCAGCCTTGCAGAGCTCTGTGTAAGGATCCGTAACTTTTTTCAAGGTAAATTTCTCTCGACACTAGCAAAACACCAATCGCAAGCGAATTTCCAACTCTTTTGTAAATCCAAAACACTGACACCATCTGACACCATTACTTTAAGACTCTCAATGTCAAGCCTTAACGGCGCCCTCCCCTCAGGTCTATGTATGTTTCACTGTATGTTTTAGAGCGTGTCCGCCGTGCGCCCATCTCCCAGCTGTCCAAATGTCACAATGCCCCTGATTTGCTTCACGCCCCCCTCCCCCCCTACATCTTCAATTGCACGTAAACAAGGATGCAATGTGCTCGACATACTGTACCCTTGGGTACTGCACAGTATTCAACTCGGCAACATGAAAGTTACCCTTCATCATATCTTCATACATTCTTGCTCTTCACGTATCCCCGCCGTCCCTGTCGTACGTTGTCTCTTGTATGCCCAGCTGTTGACCACCGCATGACAAGCCTGCGCAATGCGTGCTCCGTTTTCCCCAATAAGAAACACGATGCCGCCCCCATTTCACCTCTTGAGGACGGTGCCATCGGCTTCGGTAAACCCAAGGTGGTCGCCAGTTGCTCCTCGACTACCAGAGCATTCCTATGAAGTCCACGCATGGACACATGAAAGCATCTCACATGATGCTGGTTTGCGACTGTTGTGAGAGCAGATTGTTGCAATGTAAGCACAATAGGAAAGTAGGGATAAGAATATTATTCTATTCCAATACAGTCGACCCTACGCATTAGTGCCGCCCCGTGTAAGAACTAATAATACGGCACTAATTCGGAGCGGCACAATCAGATGGCAGAGCCACTACCCGGCCAGAACTCTGTTACTAGAGTCTGCTGTTGTTGCCTTTGACCCTGTCTCTCATGCCTAGCTTCTAGAAAAGCTCGTTTTGCGGACCTCAAGGGCGATAAGGCATTGCTCACATCGCACTCCACACCCAGACTCTCCAAAGACCCAAACAGCCTTGCTAGCACTACAGCACTCGGTACGGCCCGCCTCTCCGTAATTTCATACTCGCCTTCTGCCACACAATCATCCATCATAGCATCACTGGCAGACTGATTCTGTAGCTCTCCACTATAATGTATTGAATCGCAAGCATCACTAATAGAAGCTTTTGCCACAAGCTCATTAGTCTCGATCTCAATCCATTCCTCCACATTGCAGGGTGCAAAGGCTTTGTTCCAAGCGTTGTAGCGGTGTTGGTCACAATTTGTTGGAGTGAAGGAAGAGAGCGTTTGATGTTTCGGATGGTTCGCTCTGAAATTTTGAACTGACGCATAACTGTGGTATTCGCATTCCCGACCTGCAGCAGATGCCCAACCTCGATTTTCTGTGCAATCGTAAGGCGCGTACGCTTCGCTTGGCGATCTTTTCAGGAATCATGTTAGGGTCTGTGAGTGAGGTGCCATCACCACGCATGAGGAGTGGGCGATGACGACGTTATGCATGACACGTGGCAGAACCTGTGTCTGCCGGTTTTTGCGGCACTAATTCGAGGGTGGCAATAATGAAAGGGGCACTATTGCGCGTCCCCCTCCTGTACTGTACTGTATGTACATTATACAGTAAGGGTACTGTATGAGAGCGACGCTGGTGTATTGCAGTACCCAAGGGTACAGTATTTCTATTTTCAACGTAAAGAGAATGGTGCCCCGCTGCTTCAGTCGAAATTTTCCAAGCAAGTTATCGATACGCGTCTCATAAGCCTCTCCGCATCGTGATATTGATTAGCAGGTTTGTGTTTGTAGTCATCGCAAGATATTTTTCCTAATGTCTAATCTTCTAAGCAGTTGGTCGGGATCGCTGGTTTTGACGCGAAGCACAACATTCCGGTAATGTATTGGAAGCTGGCATAGGAGATGCAAACAGTTTATATCCTATGGAACGCTATTTGTAAACCTGTTCACCGTCACGCCGGTCACAAAGCCGTCACTGGTATCGTTTGAAATCAAATCAGCTGCTCAGCGCCTCTCAGAAGGGAAATCAGAACGACAAGGTTGTTGACTACTAGTTCATTCATTCACTCCGTCATTAATATTTCGTTTACGCACTTCGTCGCTTGTTCGTTTTCCACCTCTTTGCCCTGACCGCTCCGCAATCTGCCTGAGGCCAAGTTTGGACTTCCGCGAAAATCGTATCCATCATGGACCCCTAAATCGGTCATCGACATTGTGACAAGGCATCAAGATTTGGTTTGCCGTGTGAGATGTGAATGGCAATTCTGTGGCAAAGTTCCTCGGGAATCAGATCCAGCCATAACACAGGTTGCGGACTAGATTGGCAAAGCTGTTTAGTTTTCGATGTCACTGTGTCTTTGCGACTTTTCTGCATCTGTAGCCTGCAATGTTGAGGGTGGAGCATGACACTTTCGCTTCATACCAGAGATGTGAATCAGTTGGGCTGGAATATGCATAGATGAGGAGCTTTTGAAAGTATGTTCGACATATCGTTGGAGCAAGAGGGTGGAAGTAGACTTCAGAGTCGTGTTAAAGTGCGAAAGCCAGGCAGGGAGAGTGGTGCGGCAGGCCAATTTGTGCCGAAGAAATGGGATTTTATGGACCGCGCGACTTAAAGAGTTAGAGTGACGAATCAGACTGGTGGTTTATCTCCGCTCTGAGCAAGTAATATTTCTATTGACGCATCACGGGAAACCGTCAGTTCCTCCGGTGATACTTGAAGTTGGGGAGATCGAATTTTTGTAGATCCCCTGGTGGAAAAACAGACGAGTTCCAACACTCACGTCGAAGGGTGCATGTGCTCTAGAGTGCCATAGGCAAGCATAGTGAAGTTGCCACAACAGAGCAATCCAGTCTACGCATAAGAATGGTAATCGAAACTTTTGAACGCAGGGCACGAAGCTGCCGGAAAAGTAGTGAGAAGCTCAGTAAAACATTCGCATCCTGACAATGCTGACAACATCTAGTACTCAACCGACCCAAAAACAACCTTTACATGACCGGTACTGGGGCGACTGGGGGCGGAGGCGGGACATACTCCTCCTTTGGCTCGTGAACCGTAATGGTATCTGGCAATGGCTGTTGCGGCCCAGTCTTTCCTGTGGGATCGTGCGGAAGCATGATCATGACCTTGATGCCGAGGACCCCCTGGCGCAAAAGGACGTGGCGGTAAGCGGTATCTACATATTGCTTAACGGGGTTTCCAGACGAAATCATGTAGCCGTCGCTGAACTTCATCGTCTTGGCACGCTGCGCGCGCAGCTTTCCGGACACGGACACGGAGCAACCCTAAATACGCGGAAAAAAGGAGGACAGAAATCAGTTAGCACAGTGCGTGTTCAAGTAACGCATGCACGGATTCCAAGCGCTCAAACAAGCACACAGCTCGCCAACAGTAAGATGCCCTTAAAGCTTACCTTCGCGCCATTCTCCATCACAAATCGAAGCACACCATAGCACGCCCTCCTAACCGCAAGTCCTCCCACGAGCTTGTAGCGCAAGCTCTCTGCCTGGGCAATAGCGCACAGGCCACGGTTGGCGACCTTCTCGACAAACAACTCGACCGAGTTTTCCGGGTAGGCAAACCTCTTTTGGACGACGGCCGTGAGCTCGCGAATACGGCGGCCCTTCTCGCCTAGGACGGCTTGGGTACGTGTGGCACGGATGACGACCTCGGTCTTGGAAGGGGTGACACGCACTTCAACGCCGGAGTAACCCTCCTCGGCAAGTTCGCGCGTAAGGAGCTCATTGAGCTCGGCGTAGAGTACGCCGTCCGCGACGAACTTCTTCTTCTTGGAAATCTGCGCAGCCATGATTACAGGCGGTTACGATGGCACGGAGGAGGAAGTGTGGCGTGTGCGAAGGAAAGTGAGGGATGGTGCAGTCGGTGCTATAGGGATCTGCAGGTGCCAGCGGTGCGGTGCGGGCGGGAGCCCTGCGAAATGAGGGTCGCCGACGGCACGATGAGGGCATTACAGTATCTAGGGCAAAGCTTTTCGGGATGGTTGAATTGAAACAGGACAATAAAAATTACTTTTATCTCAGCAGATTACTGCAAAGTGATTCGCTAATTTCGTCGCGTCGCATTCAGCTATGTAAGGTCATATTCACGAGCATTTTACCTACTTGCTACGTCTCCAGGCCTGTCCCAATCCTCTCTCCGAATCTCCCTCTCTCCGTGTCCCACTTTTTCCATTATGCGCCTTCCTTCTCCTGCAGGAGATGAGCCCAGTGGAAGCTCTTCATCTCCCCTAAGCTTCCTTGCCCCCCTTCCCCATTTTCCACCAGTCTGCTAACCTTGCCCACCATGGTCCCCTCTGTGACCTCCACCCTCACGCAAACCGGCCAGCGCCATGAAAACGACCCCGCCTCCCTCGTAATCGTGTGCGCCCCCTCGGCCCTGTCCAAAATGATGGGCTCTCTTCACCCCGCCGGCGCACTCTACGAGAAGCCCGTGAATATCCGCCGCGCCCGCGACGCCCATGCCACGTTTGTCGCTATGCTGCGTCGCAAAGGCGCCCTTGTACGCGACGTGCGTGATATACTCATCGAGCGAATCGACTGGTCCATCGGTGACCGCATCGCCCTGGAGAACCTTGCATTTACGTGCCTGACTTACGCCTTTCATTATCCAGCCGCAGAGGAGAGCGACGTGGAAGGCAAGGCGAGCATACGTAGCTCACCGACTAGTCTGCCCAATAAGGCAGAGGAGTATTACATCAGTGACCAATACAAGAGGAAAGTGATCGAGGAGATGGGTCAGCAGCAGCTCGTCGATATTATTTTTACGAATCCCACCGTCACTGTCTCGCCGTCCGCAAGGGATACGGGGTTTACTGCGTCATATCACTTTGATCCGTTGAGTAATATTATGTTTGTGAGGGATCAGCAGATCACGACGCGAAAAGGGATTGTGATGGCTAGGCTCAGCTCGAAGCAGCGCCAAAAAGAAGTTGATATTATGGAGTTTTGTTTCAAGAAGCTGGGGTTGAATGTCATTGGTCGTATTCCGTGTCCGGGACGTATGGAGGGCGGCGACTTCTTCCCTGCAGGGGAAAAGCTCTCTATTATCGGAACTGGACCAAGGTCTGATCTAACTGCCGTCAAGTATTTGCTCAAAGAAGACCTTCTAGGTACCGAGCGGGTGGCCATTGTTAAGGATCAGTTTGAGCGAAGGCAAGAGCGAATGCATTTAGATACAGTTTTTAATTTGCTTAGTAATGATTGCTGCGTCATGTTAGAGGAAATGATAGGTGAAAAAAGTCCGACAAGAAGACTGGTTGACGAGTACGTCTATGAGGGATCTCGGCCTGCTGATGGCGCCGATCTTGGATTGGAAGTCGGAAAATATGTCCTTGTGCGAAGGAATGTTGAGTTCTCTCAGTATATGCAGGATCGAGGCTACAAGATCATACCGATATCTGGAGAGGAACAGCTCAAGTACGGCTGCAACGTTCTCAACCTTGGCGAAGGAAGCATTATTTCAATTGAGAAGAGCACGGCGCGTCGGATTGCATCGTCTCCGCATTTTCATGGCACGGTTGAGTTTTTGGACTTCAGCGCGGTCACTTCTATGTACGGTGGAGTGCACTGTGCGAGCCAGGTCGTCTTGAGAGGCGCTCGCTCTCTTGACGTATCAACAAAAACAAGGGAAGCGGCAGAGATTTTGCCACTTCCAGCCACAACCTTCACGGATGACGGGGTAAGTGGAAGCAGTTAGTTTTTGGTAAGCGTTTCAAGCTAGAAAGCACGTCGATCACCTCTGTATTGTCAATAATCTGGAGTCCTACGCCGACGTTATTGCACATCTCAGCCTAAAGGCATCAAAAGACAGACTCTAATTTTGTAAAGCGAATGTTTCTGGCAGTCAGTGTTTATGGGCCCGAGAATGAAGGCATTGGGAGTTTCCACTTGTAGCAATACACGACAAAGAGTTGGTCTGCACCCAGAAAATGAAGTCATGCACCGACCTGCGCCTATGCCTGGGAAAGGCCTAGTTTAGCGTCCTGCTTGCGTGAATGTGATGAGAGCATACTAGCCTACCTCCTCTGGTTTGAAAAATGTGCAAGTACACCTCTGTCCTTAGTGCCCGAGAGGGGCCGAGCAGTACATTCAAGATTGTGATGAAACCATGTTTTCCAGCTGGCAACAAGTTAAGTCGATAACAGGCTGAGTTGGTAAGTTTTGGGCTTTTTCCAGACCCAAGGGTAGGTAGCCGGGGCATTGGTGGGTCAAACGTGACTGCAGCAACGGAGCAGAAGTGCGAAGACGATACAAAAGTGCCGCAACTCGACGCAATTGCCCCTGCATGCTTTGAATAGTCGCTTCTCTATTCATAGGTGTACGATTTTCATAGCCCAAGTGATAATCAGTATCAAAGCGCAACCGTTCTAGTGAGTGATTACACGCAATCATTGTGGCTACAATGCTCTCGATTCGATCTAGAGGCTGTTCGTCTTGATCTTCCATGGACAACTCAAATTGCTTCAGCCGGCCTCCCATATGCTTGAGAATCTCAAGGACTTCATGGAGGTTAATCCGCATATCGTATAACATCAAGGACTCGAGTTCTGGTAGACCCTGTACGATACTAAGAATGGACCCGTCAGGGATATCGCAAAATTGATTCGTAGTCCATATGTGTTTCGATGAACGTATTCGAGCTGCATGAGCTGGAGGATGATTCCAGTCCAGGCTGAGAAAACGAAGACCATTAGCGGAACGTGCAATCTCAAGAATAGCTGCTTCAGCACCTGGATCAATGTACAAGCACAGTTTCCGGAGACGATTGCATTTTGCGATTGGTAGCAAGGCTTGCACACCGATGCTTTCAATAGAGCACAACGTTGTGACGGGACTACCGATTTTCTGGGCCATCGCAATAGCATTGGGAGCATACTTGATGATCACGGAATCCAGTTTAGCGACCATTGGCATTACTTCCTCTGGAACGTCTCTGTCGATGTGCAACTCTCGAAGCTGAGCAAAAGCCGGCATGTGCGCCCAGAAACCGAAGTCCTTATTTTTCCCAGAACGACTGCATAAATTGTAGAAGGCGCAAGATAGGTTCAGAGAAGAGAGGTTGGGGCAGGACTGGGCAAGAGCACCTTGCATTTTGTTGAACCGTGATATGGTGCGATGTATACAAATTTCTCCATATCTCACGCAGCAATGCAGTTCAAGTTTTGTCAGATTCAGAGAGCGTAGCGTTGACAGTAAGTGTCCGTAAGAGCGTTTTGGTCGAACCCTGACACTGATTTCTCGAATAGACGGAGAGGAGTACACAGCGTTCAGCTCATCTGCACAATCCAAAATACATGCTCGACGAAGAAAGGGCGCCGTCAGTAGAATGATGCGGCTCGGGGAGCAAATAAATGGATTAGGTACACTTGTGAACATGCGGATAAAGGATAAACTCTGAATTTCATCCCGGAAGATATCTGTCCACCTTTCTCCATATTTAACGACCGACGCGACATCAGCGTTGAGGCTGTACGAGAGTGCAGACATGACAGCTTTTTTTTGGCAAACGGATGATTCTGCCAAATGTAAGGAATCAAGATTTGGTCTGCCGTGTGAGACGTGAGTGGCAATTCTGTGGCAAAGCTCCTCGGGAATCAGATCCAGCCATAACACAGGTTGCCGACGGGATTGGCAAAGCTGTTTAGTTTTCAATGTCACTGTCTTTGCGACTTTTCTGCGTCTGTGCCCTGCAAGGTTTGAGGGTGGAGCATGACACTTTCGCTTCATACCAGAGATGTGAATCAGTTGGGCTGGAATATGCATAGACGAGGAGCTTTTGAAAATATGTTCGAGATATCGTTGGGGCAAGAGGATGGAAGTGGTCTTTTTAGAGTCGTGTTAAAGTGTGAAAGCCAGGCAAGGAGAGTGGTGCGGCAGGCCACTACCGTGTGTACCAAAAAGATGGGAATTTATGGACCGCGCGATTTAAAGCGAATCATCCATAGTCACTCCAACTCTTTAGTTGGAGTGACTTTGGATGAATCGGGCTATCTGTGCGGGGTCCTACATCCTGGTACAGGTAGAGTACGTGTCACGTATTAACAGCATGAACAGAGGTTCGGTTAAGGATCGAACCTCCGTGACGTCGGACATGAGTGAATTCCTGGGGTGGGGGGGAATTGGCGGGTGTCGGCGGGGCGAAACGTGAGAATTACGTGTGTAGTTGGGCATGGCTCTGGGGATACTGCGACATTGGCGGGTGTCGGCGGGGCGAAACGTGAGAATTACGTGTGTAGTTGGGCATGGCTCTGGGGATACTGCGACCAAGTGAAGACTTTTACTTTCCGGGTGCACTGTGTTTGGCTATGATTGGCTGTTTTTTCGTAAACAAACCCTGGTTCAGGATACCGTACGCGCACAGCGCTGTGCCGGCTGAGGAAACTCCTCTCAGTTCCATCTCGCGCAAGAGTGTAACATTCAACGAGCCGAACGGCGAATGCGTTATTGCGCAGGTGTCCTTAATTGCTTCAACGTTGAGGAAAGGCTAAGAATATGATTTCCTTTGCGACAATTCCGCCTGTCAATACAGTGCAATGCTGATTTTTTTTCAACCCTAACTAGACGGGGGGGGGGGGGGACAAACAGCACGTTCTGGAAAAACAGAAGCGATGGGAACAACTACCGTAGCCCTACAAATGCCTTGGCTGTACGACAGGAGCAGTACCAGCTTCCCCCGATCTCAGCACCATTATATGATGACGTGTCTCTAGTCCCTGACGGAAGAATGCAAATCTTTTTGCATACTCCACCACAAACCGTCAAACCCTTCTTCACGAGGTGCGCGCACGAGGGACGAACACATATCTTGTTGCAAGGTGTATTCTATACTGGGGCAATGCGCAGTAATCCTCTGACAGATTTTCCGTGTGCACATCGCGTGATTTAAGTCAATTGAGACTCCCAAAATTCTGCAAAAAAGCGGTGCTCATTCAGGGGTCATCCCCACCTCGAGCACGTGCTCGAAACCCCTACTGAATAATCTGAGTTGTTGGTTCACAGAATCGGGGGAGAGCCTTTGTGTGCCACATGCTTCAGACTTGTGAGCAGCATGAGAAGACAAAAACTGTGGCTTCAAGCGATGACAGCAAGGTATAACCCATCTCTGTAGCACGCCCCACGTTTGAGTCGCATGGGTACAGCTCGTTCATAAGCCTGCATGAGGATGGAGAAAGGGCCAAAAAAGGGTGAGACTAGTATTCGTGTCCCGGGAAGTTGTTCTTGAAAGGAGTCTTCATGCCTACCGTGGATATGCTGTGCGTACGCACGCTAAGACGGTGTCATAGCGTTTCAAGGGAGATCCACTGTACCGTAAGCAGGGTTTCTGTCAATACTGAAGAAGGTATTTGCCCCGAAGCGCGTACTCCCAAAGGTCGCATAGCGGAGATTTCTTGCGTGTCCGAGATCGCTGTGCAAATGCCCAATTCCACTATTATACTATGCGACCGCCTCTCATCTCCTGCACTCTGGGCTTCACGATGAAAACTATTAAAGGATCACGCGAATCTGTAATGTAGGGTAGGTCGCTGCTGTTCTATGACTATTCACTTTTACCCAAACAGTTCTGTTAGCGTGACATTTCTGACGCACACGCAACACTTGTCAGCATCCAACAAACTGGCCCCAGCGATCCATTTCCCCGTCAAAGAAAACGCCGTCACTGTTGCAAAACTCGTCCTCCAAGGCATGTTCTTGAAAACATGCCTCCTCTTCACGGGGCCGTCCCTCCACCTCCTCCGCTCCTCCTTCTGCTGCTCGACCTCAAAGCCGTCCTTCTCCCCGTCCATCTTAACCATCGTCAGCATCGCATTCGCATGCGGCGACGTCGCCACATGCACTCGCTTCCCAGCCATATCAAACAGAAACGAGTACATAGGCTGCTTTGTCACAAACCACGGATGCCTCGTAGCCCGCCCGAACGACAGCGCCTTGTACGACGCCTCCCCTGGGCATGAGTGGATGCAATTCAGCAGAAGCGCAGACTCATGATACTGCCTCCTCCGGCTTAGTAACACCTTGTCTTCGCCGAACAAATGCGCGGTCCCGACATGTAGAACAAGCCCCTGCACCGCGCTTGTCACCGCCGCACACAAGCCCTGCGCAAACGTCCCAGGCGACATTTCCAGCCAGTCGCATCGCTCCCGAACCGGCAACGCGCCCCTATCCCCGCTCATCTCAAATACTGCTGTGACAAAGCGACAGAGTTTGGTCCTCGCAATCTCGCCGTCCACGCTTTCCACCCTGAGCACCTTCTTCGCGCAATTGACAACCACAATGCAGTACCTGCCGTTTGGCGAAAAGACAACCCTTGCCCAGCCCAGAGCCGACCAGCGTCTCGGATAAATCTTGGTGACCTCAGAAATGCTGATAACGCAGGACTCACGCACGCTCCAAACAGTGAGATAGACCTTCGACGGAGAGCCCGCAAAGACGACCCAGGCCAGTCTCTCCCCGTCCGGCGACAAAGCGGCGGTACCGCCAACCCCCGTGGCCATACTAGAGGTTCCTAGGATGATACGCAGGGCCGGGCCCAGGTGGAACTCGGGCCCCCTCACCAGCGCAAAAACGCCCGCCTCCTCCTGCACACGAAACAGCAGGACCTTTTCCCTGGTGGCCAGCAGCAAGACGCGGTCGTCCGCGGAGAAGCAAAGTGCGGACTCGACGTCGAGGCCGGCCTCGTCCGCGTACGGGCACGAGTTGCATAGGGGGTCCCTGGGGGCGCGGCGGCCCTCGAGCACGTCCCACGTGTCGTAGGCGGCGTCGAGTGGGACGTGCAGGGCGTCGTGCACGCGGGCGTGCAGCATGTGCAGCAGGCGCAGGTTGTTGTCGTACGGAAGCACGGCGACAAGCAGGCCCGTGCGCGACACCGCCAGGTGAACGTGCTGCTGCGCGGAGCGGCGCGGCACCATGCGCAGCGCCTTGGACGAGGCCGACGGAAGAGACACGGAGAGCGTGAACTGCTGGCGGCGCTCGACCGCGTGTGTGTCGGTCAGGAGCGCGTACATGGCCGGCGACGGGTGCGGCCACAGGACGCGGAA